AAAGCGTTGTTTCACCTCGGCAGCACCAGTACCAACAACACTTGAGCTATTAGTTCCCACCACTCTGTGTCAGTGTGATGGTGCAGAAAATGTTCCAATGAATCATTTCACAACGTTGGTTTTTGTCGATCACGTGACGCAAATCGATGATTTTCCCTGAGGTGCACTTCGATTTCCAGGGAACACATGCTATGACAGGGTTATCTCAATTTGATGTTTTTCATAGTACGTCTCTCTCATATTAAAAACAAAAAGACAGCCCCATTGCGCTGAAACGGCAGGAAAACAGTTCCGGTTATATGGGTGCATGTATCGTTTCCCTGTGATTTCGAATAGTTTCAAGTGACAGATAGGATATGTTCTAACCTGTCAACAAACGAGAGAAAATAGAGTTTTCATTTTATTTCTCTATTACAAGTCAAACCACGATTGAAATAAAAACAAATGCAATACTTAGGTCATTAAAAATAAATAATTTTCATATTTGTTTTGCACGAATCTGTCTTCCTTTGTGGTGGGATAGAAGCCTTTGTGATCTTGAATGGAGTGTCAGATCGAGAGGTTTAACAGCGAATGAAAATTAAAAAGCACTGATACTCTCGTTTTCTTTCACTGAGTGAAATCATCGTCAGTGGCGAAGTGATCACCAATCATCAGGATGAATTTAACGCCAAACCTGTGTTTCAGGGAAAGAGAAACGAAATCAGTTTAACTAGCTTGTGCTTGCTGTTTCAGACAAATTAAAATTTTCCTCAATGTATTGAATTGATTGTATATATCGCTGAAGTTACAAAACTATGTGGCTAATTATTCCCTTGTTTAAAGGGGCGTTTATATTTACAATTAGGAAGCAATGGTTCAACTGTTAACGAAATGTGTTCCTGTTTGGGCGTACGGGCGTATCGATCGCTCAAAATAGAAACGGACATTTGATTTGATCTTTGGTTTCAACGTATCGTCATTCGTTGAGGGTACCCTAAGTTCCTCATCTCTATTAGACCCAGTTCTGGGGCTAAATGCACAGAACTTTTCTCAGCACCCCAAACTAAATAACAGACATTTGCAGAGTGCGACGACAATAGGGGAATAGGGGGTGATTTTGGTGGCCAATCGATGACTGACAACGGTGGTTTGGGCACATGCAGGAACTCCTTTGTTAACAACATCTCAGGAGTCACATGCAGTGTGAAAAATGCGTACAATGTTTATGGCATAGGTGACTTCCTGCTTTGTCCATCATAAGTACGCGTATTTCATATTGGATTTCATCTTAGTTTTTGGATAACACAAGGCAATAGATGCAAGACGACTAAAATAGTTCTTTCGTGATACCATTGTACTTTTGCATTGAAATATACAACCTCAATGTCCGTCCCTACATACCAGTTTTTAGTCTTGGAAGGATAACTAGTTTGACTTCTTGTGGCGTTCGCGAATAACATAAATGTTCATTCTTTAAACCTTTGATCTCAAGCGTCTATGGCGATTGTTACAACAAAAGAACCGAGAAGCATGCGTCGAGCATTAACGTGGTCATCCGAGGTGGAAAATGCCTACCGATATCAGATTGCCGGCTATCGAGATGAAATGGAATACTATGTAAGAAAAACAACGCGTTTTCTAGATCACTGTATCCCTGTTCGTTCGTTCCGTTTCAGTCAGTTCATTCGGAGCAAGTGGAGAAATGGAAAACATCGGGTTTTATCAAAAAATTACGTCGCAAAGATGGATACTATTATTATTTTGATCAGGGTAGAGAATGCTCCGAGAAAGATGTGAAGCGATGCAAACTGTACACCTACGATTGAAGCGAAACGTGTGAATTTTTATAATTATTTTGTATTAGGTTATTTCTATTATCTGTTTTGTAATAATAAAACTGACATTTTATAACAACACAAATTGTTCTGTTTATGAAAGACAAATGACAGATCATAGATCAACTACAAGAGGTTTATGATTTCTTAGAAAAACGTCCACCATAAAGCGACGCATCATACGGAGGAGGTTAAAATTCAACCAATCAACGATCCTGATTTTCTGTAATAATATCTGCGTTATAAGCGCTGGGTGAGAAAATTGTTTTTTTATTTTTTGGAGATGAACGATCTAGTTGAAGTTTTTCTGGGCTGACTTAGCTCAGAATTGTGTTCACAATGATCGATTTTGCTGCCATTCTTTATTCACTAGCGATGCAGTTGGTAGTGTTTATTCAACCGTTTGCAAGTTTGAAATTGCACATTTGACATGTGAAAAGCCTTTACGATATTCTTGGGACAAAAAAATATCACGATTATCTCAGTGGATATGCGTTCACCCTTCCCTTTCTTTTATGATAAATAATTATTAAAGCATGAAAACATTAGTTATAAAGACAACTGATCATTTAATTTTGCAACAAAAAGGCTTTCAGAAATAAAGTATCGTTCAGGGCAGTGCAATGCGATGCTCTTGCGAGCGAACAAGTGTAAGCATACCAAACAAATGGAAATGACAAATCACCAAAAGCATCCAAATTATGTTCTCACTGCCTTTAAGGGTGTCTGAAACACCGTATCGTCGTTTTGCATCTGACATTACATGCAACAGCAAATTTGTTTCCAACTGCCTCACGCGACAAAAACCGACGTGAGGTGAATGTATTTCTGTGAAGTTCAACTGTTTGATATTTGCAAACAATCTGGTACACGATTGTATTGTCAGCGATAATGGCCAAGATGGAATTGTGCTACTGCAAAGCGCACTTCATGGAATAGAATCAGGAACACCTTTTATCAGTTGTAATTCTCGTTTATGATATTGTGGATTTATGAGTTATCTTGAAAAAGCGCACGTACAGAGTTCCGAATTCTGGTGTGGCAGCGCTGATATTTGGAAGAAAAAGTGCTACTCAAGTGAAAATTGTTAGTGTTGCTCCATTGGGAATCGGCTATCAATGAACTGAATAGATTTTGTTGTTTCACATCTCTTCTCGTGGTCAAGACCAAAGAAAATATCTGATGAAGAATACGCAAAACTAACCACCAAGCTAGAGTGTTCTGCGTTCAGGGGTGTGCAAGTGCTTACCTACAAGTTCAACAATCAAAATGGATCAACGTAGAAGAATGGATTACAGCAGTTTTGTAAATGGCTTCAAAAAACCGAAAGACATACCTCTTTGCATAAATCATCACAGGAATAAGTGGGGAAATAGAAAACGTTTTCAATAACACGTTGTGTAGAATTTCAATCGGCTAAGGAACACGATGTGGCTTTCTCAGGTATATCAACCATTGCTAGGCATTTTGTTATGCAAACTGACGGTTATTCTAGGGTGTAAGCAATACGTTGACTGATTGAAATGTATGTTTTATTTCGTGCTGCGGTAAAACACGGTAAATCACGTGCGCATCATTTTCTCTCCCGCATTAGTTTGATTCCATACTTATTCATGACAAACTGAATAATCTCATCCACCTACGTTTGATATCGCGTTCACCCCAGTTGTTCACTGAGCTCAGTTTGATTGTTTCTGAACGCGTAAATTCATCTGGTTCTCCAGAGTCGTAAAANCCCCCCCCCCCCCCGTTATCACCACGCACAAACTGAACGATGCTTGAGTTAGTAACTGCTCAGGAGCATTTATTTTCAATCCTTATCAGAATCGGTTTTTCATGCTCTATTCTAGAACATGAATTAGCTGTAAAACCTACTGATAACAAAGCTTTTTCTAAAGATAATTGCAAATGAGATACAGAGATTTGCATGTGGGGTATGGTGAAAAGGTTCCGAAAATTATATTGAGAATTAAGTGGTAGTGTTTCGGTTTATAGTCGCAAGGGTTACTTTTGGTTCTCAGAACTAACCTCACGTATACCGGCCAATGAAGCATTTGAATACACTACATGAGAAAACATTTAGAACCATACCATTTGAACCTTAGAGAAGAGAACAGCTAAGTTGGCATACTGCACTCCGTATTGGGCATTAATTTTTAGATTCACCGGAACCGTTAAAAACTCACATACTGTTTCCCAATTCTCCTGTCCATATGAGGTGTATCAACGATAGTTTGTTCAGTCAGATGTTTGTCAAATTGCGTAAGGCTGACTAAGGGGAAACATAAAAAGTAATTTATATCTGATCTGTCTCGCCGCCCACCAAAACCGGAATGCTAATTTTCCCTTTCGGGGTCGAAAACTCGGCTTGTCGGGATTCATTTGTCATCTCTCGCGGTCAGCTATTCCCAGGCTAATTAGGCAGTTAAGGCTGCCTAAGCTGTCGCATTCCTTGTGTACGGCCTGGGAAAAACCGGCCGTTTGACGGTCTGCTTGGGGCTGAGACGTAAAGGCTCAATAGACCAATAACAGTTTCCCGAAAATTAGCGCACCGCTTTATTTGAGAGACAGACGGTATTAGCATATGGAAAGATGTGAGAAAAATACAGAGCTTCATCCACAGACTGGAAGGTAACAAATGCAACTGGGAAAAAGTCTACATACCTGTTCCAGGTGTTCCAGTTTGCTGGGAACCAGAATTTACAACGCTAACTACCGTCAGCTAAACGAAAGCTTTATACAAAAGTACTACGGTGGATTCAGCCCAAAATTGTTGGATTATTCTTTTGGTTTCAGGCGACATTAATCTCAATTGATAATGAAATACCAGTCAAATTTTAGGTCAGTTAGTATGGCCTGTACAAAGGAAGGTTCACTTACAATATGCTCGGACGTCTATACGAATCAATTTCCTATTTCGCGAAGAAGGTATGAATAAACAAACAATTTAAACGTAACTATAGTTTATGCTCTCTAAGGGAGCTGAATTTACAGATGTGAATTTGATTTTGATACCATGCTTGGTTCTCAATACTTGCAAATTGAGGTGCACCATGCGATTAATTGAACTGACCTATGGTTGAAACGACGTGGATGCCTTTAATAACTTGCGATTTGATAAAAACAAGATGTTAGGGGTCTGCGTGATTAAGTTGTTTTAAATGTAAACCACACATTTTAATTCAATCTCTGAAACTGTCGGACAACAATTTCATACAAAGTCTTTGTCTTTGTGTTCAAACCCACGTTATTCATGTTTCTGTCTAGATCATTGTCCGTTAACCAATCATAAATAATCCGGAACTCAGAAGCTACTGAAGAGTGATGCATTCCTTTTTGCTCTTCTTAATTACCCAATTATTTTCCATGAGGTTCGTTTGGCTTGAACTTGTTTCACTTCACTGTTGGTCAAAAAAGAATAATTTATTTGTGCTGTGGATGTTGTACTGGTAGCTGACACAGAGTATGCTGGACAGCCGTTCGTGTGTTGTTTACACTAGTCGGAAGCGAATTTAGAAATATTGATGTTGGAAAACAAAAACCATATCATTGGGCTGCATGATGATGAGCCCATATTTAGCATGGATGGCTTGGAGCGTGATACATTTTTCAAAATACCTTACACTAAAATACGCTAGTAAAATGCCATCTCAAAAAGGTCCTGTAAGAAAGCAAAATAGGAGAAGAGTATTACAAAATACTCCTAATCTTACTCCTTTATTGATACTAATCTATCAGTGGCTCACAAAACAAAGAATACTCGAACAATACGCCAGTTTCAGATCGAGTTACCACTATGCGGGGGAATCTTAACCACCATTGACGTTTGCTGTTCATGCTGGCCACAAATGTAACCAGGTAAAATCTATTTAGGCTTGTGCTTCAGGAATGACAACTGAAATGATATTATTATTCATTTTGCTGTCGAAGTGAGTGTCACTTTGAATATCTTGTTATCTCGTGTCACCAGTGCCTCAAAAATAAGGCATTACAGGGTGGTATTTGGTGAAACTGACAGAAAACATGATCAAAAGTCGATGGAATGACACCAGTGTTGTGCGGGTAGCCATCGAGTGAAACCGGATGAAAAATACCGCACACTTCATGGAGAAGAGAGAAATGACAAACATTTCGTTTTGGAAGTCACTTGGATAAGAATCTAGGCATTTTATTCGCTGGCTTGCTAACTTCGTCGTCCTTACTTAAAGAAAACCCTAACGATCTGTTTATTTGGCGCGTACCACAGTATTCGATGTTTCCTTTCTGTTTCAGGTGAACAATGGTTCGCCCACTTGAAAGAGTAAACAATCTATTTGTCTGCTGGGAAGGGATGGGGCTTTCATTCTCCCTACTTGGTCAGTGGATTTTAGCTGCTGCTACTTCTGCCACCGGTATGATAGCTTGTATGAGATGTCAAGAATATCTGCCCAAACATATCGAAATAATATCAAAAGATTGGTGATTTTTGAATTTCGAACACGGACACATTTTATAGGGAGCCACAAATAATTTTTGGTGTTCATTTGCATACGGTTTAGATGATCAATTGTTATTGATTCAAGTTATCGTTAATGGCAATAAACTTAGCCAATTTCAGTGTTATTAAATTCGAGTTCAGTTTACCTTCTTTTGTTATAGTACTTGCTGTTTGTTGCTCGGTGTGCTACCTTGCCAGTGCACCCGATTTTCAAAAATAATGGGAAAATAAAAGATTTATTTAAAGTAATTTGCCAAAACAACCCCCCCCCGTCGTGTTGTGTGCTATAAATGGTGCTATCCATTAACTATTGCGGCATACGGTTTCATTTCTCTTCAAATTATTCTTAAACTAGCCTTGATATTGGTATCAACCGATTATCTTTCACACAAATGTTCGATTCGAGGGTGTGGATAGAAGTGATTATTGGAGCTTCTTTTTATCATTGTGCACATGAAGTTGGGCTTATATCTTGAGGAGAATTTGCAGGCCCGTCGATTTTCTTGAGGGTCAC